ACAGTAAGTCTTATATACTACTCATATCCAGGTTTCCCTTAGGAGAAGAAACATATAATGCATTTAATACCTGAAGCCTCCTATTTATTTTTTAGAGACATAAGCTAATGAGGCAATAATGCTTTTTCTACTTCAAATCTTTAAAAAAAAAAAAAAAAAGCTTTCCTGAAACCTAGATTCTGAAGTCTGCTCTAATGATCTTGATGTTATAATCAAATTTCCCTATGGTATATGTATTCACATTGCAGAGTTTTGCACATTGTTTATACACATGGAGGAAGAAACTGAATATATGACCTGGGAAAATAAATTAAGAGAACAGAACATTTTTTCAGATTATTTTATATTCTTTCAAAATTCTAAATTTCATGGGTTGCTAAAGAATGTAAAGATATTTATATTTCTTCAAAATTTACATTCTAGATTATATAATGTCCTAATTCAACTTAGAAAATGGCTCCATATGCATATTATAAAAGCACTTAGACTAACTTTTGAATTAAAATTTATGCAAGGGAAAATGTAATCTTAACTGGAGCTAGCCTTCACATTAAATGTAAAAACTCCAATAGAATACATTCAATCATAATAAGAATTTAATTTTTAATTCACTTATATTAGTAAAATTGTTCAAGCTACTACCTAAGGCTAATATTTTAATAAAACCAGAAACCTCTAATTCAAAAGTAAAAGTTCTTACATAAGACAGCTGATTTTGTATTTTAAATTACTGAATTAGAGTGCCCTCTATTGGAAGAAAAAAGGCAATGAAAGCTAAACGGAACTAAGAATAGTTAAAATACCCCCAAAATTCAAGGCACATCATTAATATGGAAAATACATTTATTAATAACATAAATCTACAAAACATATTTTCCTTACATTTTGATTTCTTCTAAATTACTTTTGGAATTATTTGTCATATTATGATGAACAAGTTGGGTATTTCAACCAAACCCAAATGCCCATCCTTCAGCCAATAATGTGAATAAGCAAAAATATTACTCCACATTTAATATTCCAATGTAATATAGAAATAATTTTAATTTAGGACTACACTGGGAATTTTCTTTGATGATAAACTGAAAATATCTCTAACTCAAGAGATTTTTTTTAGACACTCTTACACGGGAGTGGGAGAATTAGGCTGGATACTCAAAGACCCGTGATGAGATTTATTCTAGCTCTAAAATTGTGTTATTTTGTGGTGTTATCAAGACCTCAGTTCTGACTCAGCATCTCAGGTCTACATTACCTCAGTAAGGCCCTGGCATTTTTTTTTTTTTTTAAAGATTTTATTTATTTATTCATGAGAGACAGAGAGAGAGACAGAGGCAGAGGGAGAAGGAGGCTCCCCGCGGAGCAGGGAGCCCGATGCGGGACTCGATCCCAGGACCCTGGGATCATGACCTGAGCCGAAGGCAGACACTCAACCGACTGAGCCACCCAGGCGTCCCGCCCTGGCAGATTTTTAGTCCTCTAGACCAACCGTGTGCATATTAGCTTTCTAAAAGAATGAGGCTCAGGGCCACCCAAAACAATTCTGATTTAGTTCGTCTAGTTGGTCAGGACATGGTACCTGCAGGTATCAGTATTTTTTGAAGCCTCTCCAAATATGTCTAACATATTACCATTGCTAAGAATCAAAAAATCTCTTCCAGAACATCTGACTACAGTTACCATTTTTATCTTCCCAAAATGTCACCTTCAAGACAGAACTCCCCTCCTCAAGAGTTTATTCTCCTCACCATCAATATTAAACTTCTGACTAGGTTCCCAAATCTAATTATCTGCCCTTAACAAAATAGCTGAGTGGTAATGGATATGGCACCAGCCCGAGACTACATGTGTTCAGATCCTGGCTCTGGCAATTACCGCATAAATGTGGGAAAATCATAAAAGTTCTCTGTGCCTCCATTTTCTCATCTGTAAAACAGGGGGAATAATACCACCTATCTCAGGGTTATTGTGAAGATTAAATCAGTTAATATAAACAAAGTGCTCCATAAGTGTTAGGTATTATCGTTACTTACCCAAATTTGTTTCCCACTACTCTCCAAGATCAACTCTCATGATAAACCATTATTCTCAAATTATACGCTATGTCTCACCTCTGTGCTTTTGCACATACTGTTTCTACAAGCTGGAATCCTCTCCCATTCACTCATTCATTCATTCATTCATTCATTCATCCATTTATTCTAAAACAAATACAAGGGACATCTCCTTCTCCCCTCATGGCCCAGTTTAGTCTCTCCCTACCTCCATGAAGCCTTCAATGAATATCAATAAGTCTTCACTAATCTCTCCCTTTTTAAAAATTCCTTTGGCCACCAGGTAATTTATTATGAGAAATGCAGCTGGGAATTAAGGACATTGGCTCTGAGTTTGAATCCTAGATCTGCCACTTGCCAGCTGAGTCATTTCCCAAGTCTATAAATCCACTTGTAGGATTACTATGAAGATTAAGCAGCTTAAATCATATAAAGCATTAGAATAGCAAGCAACTAATAAATGTCAGCTCTTATGTATCTGTTGTTTTATATGTTAGTCTTGTCTGTACACTGTGACTAAAGCCTTCTTCTAGTAAGAATTTTGAACTCTTTCAAGTCAGGAACTGCTATTATAAATCCTGTGATTTACAACATGGTAACAAACATCTGTATTAGGTGATCTATAAGTACTTGATTAAATTTTTGCATAACTTGAGAGTATAATTCATAACAAAACTCTGAAGGAACATTTTTGATGAACAGAAATAGTCAACAAAAGCGAATGAACCCAAATAAAACACAGGCTACAGAGAAGGATCAAAGTAATTCGATTACTTTTTAAACATTCAATAACAAGTTTCTATTAGATTAATCTTCTGAAAGGGCACTTCCAATGATGTCTTTTATCTCCTCAAAATCCTTTAGATTTTTCTCATTTTCTAAAAAATAAATACTAAAACTCTTATCCTGACATTCAAAATCATCCATGGCCTGACCTCAACCTATTCTTCTAATTTTATTTCATAATCTTTCTGCTTTATAAACTCTATTATTCCAGAAAAATTGAACTACCTGTCCTTACTTATATGTACCCTCTGCTTTTCTGCCTCATATAACCTTTATTATTTAATATGACAATATTTTCAAGGAACACAATATAAAATTTGTCACAGGAACAAAGACTGATTTTATGAAAGGATAAGCTTGAATTTTAAGAAATTCAGTTCAATTTATGAACATTAATTTCTCTCTTGCTACTATCACAATACAGTCTTTGACTTATAAAGAAACAACCTTTGGCCATCATTTCCCCCAAATTATGTCACCCTCATAATATCAAAAACCTCTGCTATCACTACCTGAAATCTATAAGCTTGAGTAAGCATAGTCTCCAAGTAAAGTGTGCAGACCCCAGGGTGCACAAGATACCCACTGACTAAAAGGAAAAAAAAAGATAGAGCTTCTATTTACACTTATTCTTTATCCTTCTTATTTGAATGTCTCTTGTAGTATATACCTAATTTACATCATACATTCTTAGAATAGTAGATATATGTAATTTATAAACACATGCACTTAGGATGTTTGCTTAAAATTTGTTTACTATGCTACACACAATAAAAAAAGTTTATAAACCACTGGTCTAGAAAATTAGGGCTTTCAGAAAATCTGTGGGCTTAGAAGTAGAGGGCCAGAAGCCGTCAGTTTAGAGAAATCTTTAGGGACAGACCTAAAAATCTAAACACCATGTATTATTTATGTAGGATAAATATGTTTTGATTTGTAACCAACCTTCAAGGAAATGTTGAATTGTAATTGGTTTGTAATTTGGAGATGACATAAAACTGTTTAAGATTTTTAAACAGGAAATTTTGTTCTGATGTTAAAGTCATTACAGTAAATATTTCATTAATATAAAAATTTCATTTGGTTAAAACTCATATGTATATATAATTAATCATAATTATTCATAAAGAGCTTTTATTGGGGCCAATAATATGATGCTTTAAAAAAGATATTGCAGCAAAAAAAAAAAAAAAAAGAACAAAGACAGCCTAGGGAGTAAGACTAGCCATGGAGCTAGACTAGCAAGCACTATCCTGGGAAACAAGTTGCACATTAAGGAACTAAATGAAGTAAACATTCTCATAATAGTCACTATACTTGGCAATTACTTTTTAGTTTTCATAAATAATATGACATACTTAACACAATCCACTCTTATTAGCTTTTGAAGAAAGCATAATGTTTCTATAACAAATTAAGTTCTAAAAGTGAGTAAAGATTTCATGTTATAATACTGCATTTCCTTTAATACCAGTGCACCCTATAAATCCTACCTCTACCTGACATAAAAGAGATATACAAATCCTAATTTTAAACTGATTGATTCTTTACAGGTTTTGGTTTTTTGTGTTTTTTTGTTTTTGTTTTGCTATTGTGTTAATATAAAAATCTAAATGAGCAAGAATCTCTAACTCATGATTTAGATTCTGAGCTTGTAGGTTGCCTAAGGGATTTGCATAAGATTATAAAAATATGGAGGTCAAACTTTCTACAATGTCTCTCCCCTACCATAACATACAAAGTGACTGGGGAACATACACACATAGCCCAGCTCCATCTTTCTTTAAGATGGGGTAGACTCAGTCCATAGAGAAAAAGGGGAAACAAAGACAAAAGGAAGATTTTTTTTTTCTTTCTTTGGAAACCAGTATCATCATGCCCAGTAAAACTAAAAGAACATAATCAAAGAAATTATGATTTCTTAGGCAAATCAACAGTAGCAAGATCATCACAAACTATAAGTGATTTATCAAAGCATTCCTTCCCCTACACATGCAGTGAGAGTAAAACACCAATGAACATCAGAAAAAGAGCAATAGGGAATCTGACATTTGACACTGGAAGAATCTGAAGATAGGATAATGCACAAATCCCATGCCTCTCAGATACACATTGAGTTGGCAAAGACAGATGCACTGTCTTCCTTCCCCCCTTACTTACTACACTCTGGCTTCCATTTTTCCCAAGTTCTTCCTCTGAAATCTTGCTCAAATTATCTAAGTAGTGGTCTGATATTGTGTGGCACAAATCTTCAAAAGAATAATCCTTTTCTTGACAGAGTTTTATTTCATCCAAGAGTTTTGATAATTCTCCAGTCACAGTTTCACCTGTAAGAGAGTAAGACAGTAATTTTTTTCAAAGTTTCAAGAAAGGCTATTGCTAAAACTTCCTATTAACTAATAAAAATATGACTAGTATGGTAATAGAAGTCATACTATGACAAACAAGATTTAGTAAGTCAGAAAATATTCTGTTGAAAGCAAGGTACTAAACTATAATAAGTTCAAGAATATTAAAAGACAAGGAGAAATCCCAATTTTGCCTATTATTACTCTTATTCAAAATAGAAATAAGTATTGAAGGTTTATAGATAGGTAGTACATAAAAGCCTCTGGAATTACAATTCCTAAGCCTTCATCCATTGTAACATTTAATCTTCAACAATCTTTCACCGGCATTATAGTTCACGGACAGAATTCATTCAACAACTCATTAACAAATTTTAAATGGTACTGGAAGCCTACTTCCTAGGTTCAATAAAAAGAAATAGTAGAATGTATTTTGAAAAATAATTACATACGTAATAAATTAGAATTGTGCTATGTGACATAAAGGAAGAACACTGAAGAACAGATAAATAATATGCATCATCTGTCAAAATATGAGTATTTTGTAGGCTGCATGCAAATATGCATTTTTCTAATCATTTTCAGAAAGGTACCTTATACCTGTAATTTCTTCTGGGGAAAAAATAAAACTCCAGCAGTTATAATCCAAATATCAGTATTTTTATTCTGCATTAAAAATACGTTTTAGAAAGGGGCACCTGGATGTCTCAGTTGCCTGACTCTTGATTTCAGCTCAGGTCATGTTCTCAGCGTCCTGGCATGGAGTCCTGTGATGAGCATTAAGCCCCCATGCTGGGCTCTGCACTCTGTGGGGAGTCTGCTTGAGATTCTCTCTCCTTTTGCCCCTCCCTCCACTCACACATGCTCTCATACTCTCAAATAAGTAAATTAATTAATTTTAGGGAAAAAAAAATCTACTGTGAAATATCCACTCCATGTAAACTTCATGACAGCAGGGATTGCTAATTTTGCTCACTACAATGGTAGGGCCAAGAGAAGGGTCTGGCAAATAGAAGAGCTCAATAAATGCTGACTGAATGGGCGCCTAGGTGGCTCAGTCAGTTAAGTGTCCGAATCTTCATTTCGGCTCAGGTCATGGCTTTAGGGTTGTGAGACTGAGCCCTATGATGACTGTCAAACTCCCATGTTGGCTCTTTGCTGGGTGTGGAGCCTGCTTAAGATTCTCTCTTCCTGCCCCCACCGTCTCCCTCTCTTAAAAGAAAAATGCTGGCTGAATAAATGGATAAAATATACAGTATAAGATACAACTTATTAGACCTGAAATTTTTACAAGTGTTAGCCTTTTTGTACATATAGGACAAATCTGTACATAAATGTCTAGTACTATTTCAAGGTCTTTATATTAACTACTCACTCTTAGTCTTTTGGGAAGGAGACTCAACAGGAGATGAAATATGTATTTCTTGTGTTGTATCTTCTTGTACATGCTCTTCAGGGACTGCTGATCTTCCCACACCTTCCAAATATTCTGTGTATACAAGTTTTTGAAATTACATAGTCAAATTCATTTACTTTAAAATCAGTAACTAAACTTTATGTTTTATTTCTGGTGATCAGTTTTTCATTTATTTCCTCAAATCCTAAATATATCCTAAGTTTTTAAAAGAACTTCAAAAAACCAAACAAACTGAAATAATTTCATGATGAACTATTAAATCTTTTTAATTAAAACATAAAAAATACTTAAGAAGAGACTCATAAACCCTTTTTGTGAAAACTAAACTGGTCACATTCTTTCCTTAAAAATAAATTCACCTGTTAAAGACATACTAACATCCTTAACTTCCTTAAATATATTTTACCTGAGGATTTAAAACCCTCTGAAAGATGCTTTGAATAGACTTGATACCTAAACAGGGATATCAAATTCAACAACCAGTCAGGTAACATAAATGAGTGAAATTTATGTTATAATGGTGTTTACTCTTGTAATATAAGCATAATTGCATATTAAACTTTATTTCCACAGAGAAATAATGTTCATTCTCTTTCTTGAAGTAATGTTCCGCACAGCCTATCTCTCATTTCTCCAATTTTGATGAAGACATAGTTACAGTAATAGCAGCTAAAACTTAAATATGGCTTACTATGCACCCAGCGGTGTTCTAAGTATTTAAAATAAGTTAACTTGGGGCGCCTGGGTGGCTCAGTCGTTAAGCGCCTGCCCTTCAGCTCAGGTCATGATCCCAGCGTCCTGGGATCGAGCCCCGCATCGGGCTCCCTGCTTGGCGGGAAGCCTGCTTCTCCCTCTTCCACTCCCCCTGCTTGTGTTCCTCTCTCACTGTGTCTCTCTCTGTCAAATAAATAAATAAAATCTTAAAAATAAAATAAAATAAAATAAGTTAACTCACTTGATCCTCACAAAACTATGACACAGTCACTATTACAATCTCAGTTTCAAAGATGACAACTCAAAGAGAAAGATTTTAAGTTGACCATATTCATACAGCTAATAAGTGGCACAGCCAGATAGACATGGTACAAGAAAACATCTCACTTTTCTCTTAAGCATAAGGAAAACGGCATCTGAATGCAGGGATAAATGTCAACGAATATTCAGCCTCAATATCATAGAGAAAACAGAAAGCATGTGGAGCATGATTAACCAGAGAGTAGGTGCCCCACCTAAAGTTCAACAGTAAAGTAAAATAAAAGCCTTCATTTTTTGAGAAACCAAAACTCTGAAATTTTAGCTGAAATCCTAAGATTTTTAAATGTTGAAAGCTAATTCAATGTTTATGGAAACACAGTGCAGGCCTAAAATATGTAATCTAAACAAAATAAATCTGCTGTCTGCCAAAAGCATTCAGCTTATAGTGGCTAGTTTGCAGTCTCCACCTAAAGGATTATATCAATTGATCTCTCCCTCAGAGGGATCTTTTACTTACATGTCTTTATTCAGAAGGAATCTTTTTCTTAAAATCTAGCTAAGAAAGTCTGTGCTCTCATGCCAACCAACTGTGTCTTCATACCACCCAGTTTCTACCTAAGGACAATTCTACTAGGCAAAGAAAGCAACCTATGGAAGTCTATCCTTAAAATTTTTGACCCAAATACAGTCATTACGTAAAGTGAATTCTTCCTCCAGGACACAAATAGTAATTTTATCTACTCTAAATTGGTTTTAGTGAAATAACCTTTTCATAAAACTTAAAATGTACCACTGACTTATGACCCAGGAATGCAAAGAATACAGATAACACGTTCACATTCTAAAATCTGCCAACAATCTAAAAAATTCAAAGATGTCCCATATACCCTATCACAAGGTGACATACCTAATGAACCTTAACCATTTAAGAGAACATAGTTAACTCCTATATAACAATTTCATCTCAGTCAAATCAATACAGTAAATGTATGCAATCATGTCATGCCCTCTTTTTAGTGATGACATTTATTTTGCTTTTCTCTAAAGACATATTATTCACAAGCCTCTGTTTTTTTAAAGTTCAGTTAGAGATAAAAGTTCAATATAAAATATAAAGTGCCTACAGGGAGAAGACAAAAATGTTGTATACCACTCTTTTCCTCTTTAGCTTTCGTTCAACTTGATTTTAATTTGAATGTGAAGAGCCACTCTTGTATTCTCTGATCTAGCTCTATATGCACTTGACTGCAATTAACTTATTAACAAGATAATTGTAGGGGACTGAACTTCGTGTTCCCTGAGAAGTTTTGAAAATAAAGAGAGAAGAGAGCATGAATGACCTCTTGTAGCTCATCTATTCTTTTTACCCCTCTTTGGCTTTTGTTGACTCCTGTATCTATGCATCACCTGACCGACTTGGTTTTAATTCATTTATCTCCTGCAGGACAACGCTGTTCTTCAGCTTCCCAACTAATAACCAAGGAAACCATCCTGCCTCCCTTCCCTATTACACTTGCCACCCAGCTGCAATAATCAGGGGATAATCACTGCTGACCAGTGTAGAAGCTACCTGGAAAGGAGAGAATGAATGTCTGGATTTTTAAGGGAACATACTACATGTCAGGCCTAATCATGAAGCAAAAAGGGAAAGTATTTAAATCTAAATTTTCATTAAAATTTTTAGATCGAACAGGGAAATATATAATCCTGCAAATGAAAAATTAGTACCTAAATGGTTCCCAAACCTTCAGTAGACCTAAATGCCTGCACCTAATTACACAGGTACTTAAGTGACCTTTACCAAAAAACAAAGGCTTGCAAGACTGAATTATCTTGTACTACTGGATTAAGGAAGAAATAATCTGTATTCTTCTAGCTAAGTACAATTTTTTTGTTGTTGTTAAACCAGTATTTATGTACCAGGTCTACCACTTAAAATAGGATATATGAGTTTGAGCAAGTCAGCCTCTCAGAGCTTCAGTTTCCCTCATGTGCAAAAAGGAGAATAATGATATCAGATTTACCTACCTCATGAAGTTATAGAAATCAAACAAAATAAGAGAAAATCCCTGAAAACCCTTTAAGAATTATTCAAATGTAAGATCATCATCACTTTATAGCCTTATTACCTTCAAGTTCATAACTACATATTTACTATATAGATTTAAAAGATTTTTTAATATCAAGTGAAAATACTCATTAGTTGAAAATAGAAATGAAATATTAAAAATTATTATTCAGTTTAAGTGTACCAGGAAAAAAATGTAAATAATAAGTTCACCCAAAGTAAACATTAACTCAAAACTCAAGAGAAAACAATGGTAGATTTAATTTAATCTTAACTTTAAGACAAACTCATCCATCATTCAATATTGTTTACCTTGTAAGAGTGTTGCAATCTGGAGAGATTTCTGAGATGGATGTTCTTTCAGAATGTCTAAGACAGTTCTACCTAAGCTATCCTTTATGTTGGCATCAATTCCTGAAAGAAAAAGAAAAGCCCATTAAATGTACACCACTGAAGTGTCAGATACTGTCAATATATAACACTCTAATATCAAACATATACAGACCAAGCACTGAAAATGATTTTTTTAAAAATTAAGTCCACACACACACACACAAACACACACACACAGGATTTTAGTAAGAAAGAAGGTGGGGGTCTACTGCTACCAAATATTAGGAACATTCTTGATAATGAATTAATTTTTCAAGGGCACTAACCCAATCATTAAGATTGTTTTTTATAATTTGGGTTATAGCTAGTTAAATGATACACTACCAAGCTGAAAAATATTAATGTTTTAGAATATCAATTCCCAAAGTATAATAATGGTTCTGTGATACATATATTCTGTAAAATATGGTAAAAAAATTTAAATAATAATGTATCACTCTTAAAACACTGGAGTATTCACAAAAGTTGAAAAAGGATGATTATTCTGAACTACTGTCCAAATATTATTTGTCCAGCTACAAAGTCAAATATCTCATATTTACTTATGCAAGATTATATTCAATGTAAACAATACTTAATCATCTACCTGGTGAGCACACTTCTTGAAGTTTGTAAACGAAAACATCTTTGGAATTATTTTAATTCTAAAAATACTTAACGTACTAAAGAACTTATTTCAATGTAGCAAATAGCTTTCACTGCCCCAAAAAAGTTTATAAACTTTCCAAACATCTACCTGCAAATAAAGCCAGTTTTCAGATTCTGGCCTCAAACCTTAGTTCATTGTAATAAGGTAATTAAGTATTTGCTTAAATTTGTATAGAAATGTGTGACCAGCACTTATGTAATTAGTGCCTATAAGACATTATATTGCTGTTACATGTCAAAATTAAATGTACACGAAATTTTAACTTTGTATATGCAATAGTCTGCCAATGTTTTTCATTTTTTTAACAGCGGAAAATAAATACACTAAATGTAGTCCATAATATAAAAGATTCACATCAATTGTTTCCAAGTATGAATTTGTACTCATACTTTTTGATCCTAAAAAATCCAATCTCAGTTTCAATTTTATTTCATTTCATTCAGAATATACATATGAAGACAAATAAGCCTACTTTGTTGTTCCTTCAAAGCATTCCCTCTAAAAGATTCCCTTTAAATCACTGCTGCTTACAAACAACAGCTACTCAGTTGATGAAGTAACAAGGTGAATTTACCTTAAGGATACAGAACTCTAATTTCTGTTTACCATAGTTCCCAATATAATAACCTAGGGAAATATTATGTTCTTTCATAAACCAAGCAATTGTCATAACTTCATAAGGATCAGTTCCTCCCTCTTATACAAGGCAGAGAATTCCTTTTCCTTCTGGTAGTGTCTCTAATATAGTTCAATGCGATTTAAATGTATACAACTAATTTCTAAGAGCTTTTTACTGACACATCTATGGAGTAAAGGAAGGTGCATATTTATATCAATTTTATCTAAACACTGAGGCTCAATTCTACATGATATGAATAAAATTTGCAATGTGAAGTAAAGATAAAAAGGGTGATTATGGAAAAAAAAAAGTGCCATTTCCCTTTGTCTACTCCTGAAATAGAAATTTTATTTGGCAGAATAAGCTCCATGGAGAATCAGGATAGTTACCTGTTTCTAACAGAACTCTCACAACATCCACCTTTCCAAATAAAGCTGCTTCATGAAGTGCACTCCCCTTTTCTGTCTGGAAAAAAAAAAAGAAGAAAAGAAAAAAGAAAGAGAAAAGAGAAAGAAGCACGTTGCATTAGGAATGCTTACAAGTTAAAAAAAAATTGTGATTTTATATATCCATACATATTCTCTGTAATCTCAGCACTCCCTGACAGAAAGCTACTATGGAATAAAGAAGAGATTCTAAGAACAAAATCCAAATGCTTGGATTTGTAAAACACCTCTGCTTCTGAATAGCCATTTGACCTTGTTATGTTGATAAGTCACTCACCTTCTCTTAGCCTCGGTTGCTCTCAAGCGTAAAACAGGCAGTAATGCCTGCCTCATGAGGTTTTGTGAATATCCATTGACTTCACCCAATTCATACATTGCATGCATTTATTAGACACCAATTATATGCCAACAATAGTTGAGGGGTGTTCTGAAGCATAGAAATATGATGCTGACCCTTGATATTCACATTCTATTTGAGGAAATAGACAAAGTAATATTATGATAAATGAAATCTAAACAATTTAATATGGTTTACAAAACCCACACGATCTTCTCCCTGCTCTCCCGTCCACACTTTCTCATGTCCACCCCAACTCTCCTCCAGATCTTATACCCTATGCTTTCAGGCATACTGAACTTTTTCACATTAGTCTCAGTTGCTAGAGATCTCAGAAGTCCCTCTGCCTGGTGGGATCCAACCTGAGCCCTCTAACTCACTATCACCCACCCACTAGTTCTCAATCTTCAGCATGAACTGGAATTCCTTAGAGAGCTTGTCAAAAGTCGACAAGCCAGATTTCTGGGCCCTACTCTCAGTTTCTGATTCTGCAGCCTGGGATAGGCCCAAGACTTACCATTTCTAACAAATTCCCAGGTGATACTGTGGGTCTAGGAGTACACTTTGAGAACCACTGAACTATATGTCAAATCTCAGCTTGAATATAATTTCATTTAATAAGATATTGCTAGCCCCCAGGTCTAGTGCTTTTCCTGTATATTCCACATCAATCTATTTTTTCCTCATCATAGCACTTACACTACATTATGTCATCTGATTGTCTATTTCTCTTAAACTATAAATTTAGTGTAAATGTAGACCACATCTCTTTTTTTTCATCACTGTATCCCTAATGCCCACTAAAGTACCTTGAAAATGTAGACATTTAAGAATTGTTTTGAAGGCAAAAGGTAAATGGGGAGGAAAAACTGCATGGAAAGGAAGATTTTGTGAGTAATGCAGGGAGAGATTGGTTCCTGCCTTGAAAAGGACGAAGGAAAATTTCAAAGAAGCAGGTTTCTGAGATCTACAAACACTAGGTGTTTTCTTTCACTTTCTTCTTTTTCTCTCAAGAATTTAATAAATGTCTAGATCCTCAGTATGTGTGCATATGTGTGTTAAATTGAATAGTGTCATTACAGCAATTCTGTCCCCTTGTACTAAAACTGAACTCTACTGTGGGATTCTAATCTAAATTCAAAGTAAAAATAACATAAAATAATATGTAATGTAAAAACTTTGTTAATCAAGTAAAATTCTATTGTAGAATTAACCCAATCTAAAATGGCTTATAGGGCGCCTGGGTGGCTCAGTCGGTTAAGCGACTGCCTTCGGCTCAGGTCATGATCCCGGAGTCTCGGGATCGAGTCCCGCATCGGGCTCCCTGCTCGGCGAGGAGCCTGCTTCTCCCTCTGACCCTCCCCCCTCTCATGCTCTCTCTATCTCATTCTCTCTCTCAAATAAATAAA